AAAGAAAAGAAAAAAGAGAAACATAACTAAATTAAAAAAAACCAACGACTTAGATATGCCTCGCATTATGATGATTAGACTTCATGATAACACACGATCGAGACAAACGGTTTTCTGTTTCGAGTTACTGTTAGATCAACTAAGAAAAATTTTCCGGGTCATTCGGGTCCAGTTTTGAAAATTTCGGGTCGGGTCCAAAAGCCTTCGGATCGGGTCGGGTTCGGGTTAATATAAAAAATATTGAATCGGGTCGGGTTGGGCTCGGGTAAAAAATGTTCGGGTCGCGTCGGGTTCGGGTCATCCACGTAAGACCCGATTCGGTCTCTGGCGTACACTACAGGCAATCTCCGAGGACCTATCTATCGGCCAAACCTGAGCTCAAAGTACCTTAAAAACACATGGCACATGGGCTATCGCACACGCTGATTACTGTGGCAAATTCCCATTTTAATTTCTTGTCTTGCACAGGCAGTCATCAAATGGTTGTGGATGAATCCGATGTGGCTTTTGAAGCAAATGAGTCAATTACATCCAGTATAGGTGATGAAATTGACGTAGGTGGTACCAGTGAAAATAGTGGAAAACTGGCGAAGGAGGAGGTTTTAAACATGCATTAGAATACTTAAATGAAACATCAAGAATATAAAATCCATTTAAATATCCAGCAACATTAGTCACAGCTGATACGCGTCCACCAAAAATAGTTAATGGAATTATACCAGTGTGGGCTGGACCAACATCACCAACAATGCCCAAAAAACCAGTTGAGACAAAAAAAAGAAGAAGCTGGGGGTACAAAAATAAAAGCAACTGGTCTATACGATTTCTGTGAGGACCAAGTTAGTAATAGTGGAAAAAAGGAAGATGAGCAAGAAGAATTTTAGAACTGATCTGTACCGTTTGTTGTTTATGATTTATACAATAATTTTTTACAAAAGATACCAGCGCAACGTTAGCGTGAAATGTCCTTGCTGTAATTATAAAATATAAAACTTGTTAATGGTATTGTTGTTGATTTCTTTTTAAAAGTAAACGTAACACCATAGATATTTATTTTTTATTTATTTATAACACCGTAGAGTCTGACGAAAAATGAAGCAATAAGAAATGAATCAATGGAAAGAAAGCGTTTTGCACTTTGAAAGAAACATCTGCTGAATTTTTTCAAGTTGAAATTTAACGAAGGAATTTTTGTTCATCAGTGTTTTCCACTAGTCTACCGATACTCATAAATTGGTTTTGTTTTTTGAAAACTACGAATTATCGAGACAGTCGTAATTAAACGTTTTGGTTTCTGTCGCGTCCGATGTATAAAAACGTATACTTTTTACTTTGATCGATTGTTCTTTCAGGCTTTGCTCATCGAGAAAAAGATGTAGTGTACCTAGTTAAAACTAGTTGCAATACATTTTTCTGTCATGTTTTTCTTAATCGCAAATATTCATTTTCTCTTTTAGATCTATAAAATTATCGTGCAGTTATTTATTTCTGTTACTATCACGTGTTCATTGGGTATTCATTCTGTTATCAGTTTCTCTAAACATTGGTTTTACTTCGTCTTGCATCTACGTCAAAAAACAAACAAGAGTGTGTTGTGGTTTATCATTTATTTAAATCAAAATCAAGTATTTAAGATTTAAGAACAAACTGAAAATACTAAGTTTGTATGCACTGACAAAAACAGAGAAAACAGTTAGACATTAATTAAATAAACATAATTGTTCTTTACCTTAAAGATACGTGAAAAATACTTTCACTAAAAAGCAGAATATTTGTGTTTATTTCATCCAGTCGATGTGCATATACTCTAATAATTCAGATGAATCTGTGTGTCTGTTGCTTGGGAAATAAACACGTGGTGCATAACATTTACTTGTTTTTCTTTGAGAGAACGAAACTGTAAGAAATCAAGTAATAGTAGCATAGAAGTTATGACTTAAAAAAGAGGACGAGTGCAGATACCGAAGTTGGGAACTTAGCTTATGAAGTTGCATGTTATCTTGAATTTTTTTCAAAGACCAGAAGGCTCTCAATGAAATGGGCACGTGCGAAAAAACAGTCGATCAGTTATTCTCTGTTATGTAATATGTAATCAACTATTTTAGGTAATAAAGATGTTGAAACGAAAGATCAACAAAAATTGTACATTGGACGATATTAATGATTTATTTAAAAGAAATTTGAAAATAGTTGAAGATTTATATCAAATTGATGGCCGTAAAATGTTCAGCACGTATTTGTTTGATTATTTCAATGCTGTTTGTCAGCAAGAACAATTGGAAATCAATGCATTAATTGCTGCTATGCTTGCAACATCTTCGCATCTCTTTCAACGAAGTTTTTCTTATCGTCTTAATCGTCTACCAATTTCTTCAGCAACGTTTAGTTTAATGGTAGCTGATAGCGGTGAGTGCTGTATTGCAATGCAATTTGTGGAGCCTGTACTCGCTCGAACGTACTATGACTAAAGCCTTGTTTCTTGTGTGTGATGATGTATGAACAAAAACCCTCTGCAACCCGTTCATTCCCGATATCTGTTTAAACAGACATGAGTTTACTTATATTGACATTCTTTGACTTTTTTACGTTTCTTATAAAACTAAGTATATTTAAAATAATTGAAAAACATTTTTGTAAAATCATTTTACACCAGAAGTGTAGAAAATAACAGTCCAGAATAGAAAAATGTACCCGTCACTCGATTCTATACTACATATTTTTCTATGTTTAGTTTTTCTAGTATTTTCGTTCTCTGCTGTTTTAACTAGGATGTACATTCATCTCTCTTCTAAATTCACAGTCATATTAGCCTGATGATGATACTGTGAAGTATCGAAAGCTCGCTTCTGGTGTAAAATGATTTTACAAAAATGTTTTTCAATTATTTCAAATATACTTAGTTTTATAAGAAACGTAAAAAAGTCAAAGAATGTCAATATATTTGAATTAATCAGTTCCAAATATGAACGATTGGTTTTGGTACTGTTGAGGTATGTTGAGAGAAAAACAGGTGAAAACGCAATGTGATATGGAGTTCTTGAGATACTGCCTGATATATGGTCTAACACCAAAGTTTATCCGATTTAAGCTACATAAGAAACAGATGTACAATTCATTCTATGTCAAAGTTTTCCAACGGAAAATGTTAGTGGCTGAGCTTCGAGAGAAAGAACGGAATTTGAAATTACTTCGAAGTCAAATTGAGTTTGGTTTAAAATCTCTCTATCCGAGACTCTCGACATTGGATAACCATAGAATAAAAAATTATATATACGGTGTAGCAATGTCAAAAAAGACTCAGATTGAGGCAGTTTACGAAGGAAAACTGAGAAAGTTACACGGTGCGACTGTTAGTCATATGAAATCAACCCTTTTGGATCCAAAAAAGTTAGTTTATAATCTATCGAATCGTATTCTTGATGAACATGAATTAAAGCTCTTATGTCGTGGATGGAAATTTTGCATTGAACACAAGGTAACAAGAACGTTGGATTTAAAAACGGATATTGAACATGGTATGTATTGAATAAAGGAGAATAATAAGAAAAATAAGTCGATAAAGTGGGATCAAGTATATGATGAAATCAAAATTGCTGCTAAAAATCTATTGTATCGAGTAGTTCACAAACGGGTAGCTAACTTATCGAACGATGAGATAGATGCAATGAGAAGGTTGAAAAACGACAGCAAGGTAGTCCTATTAAAAGCTGACAAAGGTAACGCAATTGTGATCATGAACAAAGATGACTATTATCAAAAAGTGATAAATATGTTAAATGATCCAAAGAAATTCAGTATCAGTTCATCAGATGAGACATTAGACGAAGAAAATAAAATTAACAACAGATTGAAGCAACTGTTGAAAGATAAAAAAATTGATCAGCAGACTTATGATCGTCTTTTCGTTAGTGGATGTGCGATACCATATTTATACTGTACGGTGCAGATACACAAATCGAATTATCCATTAAGACCTATCATTTCTACTTGTAATGAATGCACCATGTTACCGTTTATCCAACTATTTAGCAGAGCAACTAAAATTTTGTGACAACAATTCAAAGTCGTTTATAAAAGATTCTTTCGCACTAGTATCTCGTTTAAAACAAACAAAACTTAGCTCAAATGATATACTGGCTAGCTTTGACGTGGAATCACTCTATCCGAGTATACCAGTTGAAAAAATAAGAAAGACAAAGTTGATCCGGCCCAAAGATTTGCCGCAGCAGTATCGAATGATGAAAAATTGAAAATTTTAAAAGAATATGGAATAAACTATCCAATCATAGATTTCTTCACAGCAGCAAGTTTGTTGAAATCTGTACAAGAAGAACCTGCATATGCACTGTTAGATGAAGCTGATAAGCTGCTAATTGATAATTGTATATTCAATGACCAAACATCAAGAACAAATACCATGACTTATGATTGTTCAGCGCTGATGATGCAAATGTTCAATAGTGTTTCGGTCTATGTTAAGAAATTAAAAGAAGAAGACAACATATTATTCTATTCAAAGCTGACATTTTTCGATAACAAAAATTAATTTTTAAAATAAAGAAATTTTTTACACTTCCGGTTAAGATAAAGCTGGCTAGAGTTTTATACACCCGTCTGTGTGTGCTTTTGTAATGTTGCAATCTGCAGTTGTTTAGACCAAACACCAACATTTTTCTGAGTTTTGAACTAATTTCATTGGTTTTGCGTGACGCACTTTACATCTTTTTCAATCTAAGCAGTAAGTTGTTGTAGTTTAATGAAGTTTGTGATGATTTTATTCTTAATTGATGATATTCACCTGTATTTTGAAGAAGCCGCCAATGATCGTATTCGTTATTTTGGTGATGCACTTACAGAAAAATGTATGTAGAAGATGCGGTATTTATTACTTTTACTTGCTTGGAGTATGCCTAGCTACTTTGACAAAAGCAGATAATAACGATAAATTTTTTAAAGAACTACCGTATAAGTAAAAAGGCCTGTGTTTTAACAGCGAATGTAATACAAGCGCAAGCACAAGCGATATTGTTACTTCCAATAGAATTTCACAGCTTAACTCTGTCTACCTAAAAAAATAAGACTATAGAAATTGTATTTACTGTCAATTATTCTTCTGCTTTCTAGCACGTAAAATTGATTAAAGCCATGGACATATTAAAAGACCCCCCACATTAGAAGACCCCTCCATAATAGAAGACCTCTCTGAAATAAATTATGTAAAAGACATATTAGAAGACCCCTTTTAATATTTCATCTATTAAAGTCGGTTTTTTTTAATTTTTCTGTATATGTATATCTTAAGGTTGAATCAAGGAATTTTCTTCTGTTCTTCCTGCCGTCAAAATAGTCCATAGTACAATGTTTTCTTTCTCAAGTTTATGGTGATACATACACTTACGAATATCTCTTTCATTTCTGACAT